CCGCGACCTCGCCCACAGGAAGCTGCGACCGCGTGGCAGCAGGGAAAATGGCCGCGGATCCAGTAAGTAAGTCGAGGCGAGTTCGTATTCCGAGGTAAATTTTTCCTGCCGAAGCTGGTCGTAACCCAAAACGTTCGTTAGTAGAGGCGTTCGTATCCCGAGGTACCACTGTACATTTTGCCCTCCGCCCCAACCACCCGCACAGTCTGCTTTTCTTTTGTGTGATTTCTACTTTCTTTTTTCGTTTGTTGAGCTGGCTGGTTTCCTATTTCGTATCGTGCTTCACAAGGAATGCATTTCTCCTTTTCCCTTCTAAGTTCACAGCTTCCCTTGCAGGCAAAGTGGTGTCTATGTCTCCTATGAAAGATCGACTGTCCACCGATTCAGTTGAGTGTAATGCATATTCAGGCCTTTGCTCTTTTCTATCAATTTTAATAGTTTTTTTTTTTTTATGGAGTAAGTTAAGTTAATTACTGATGTTAGCACACATGGAAATAGTACTCAGACCAGAATTTTAAAATAAATTCTATTATTTGCCTCATTCCTCTTTTCCATCACAAGCCTCAGAGAAGTATATGAACTTCTCCCCCTCCTATGTGACCTCTGATGTTCATACAGATGTTTTGCATTATGTTTAGATTAGTACATCATTGACTATGATAATGTATTTAAAAGCCAGTTTCTTTTTTGACTTTCCAGAGCATGTTGGAATTTTTCATGCACCGACCCTCTATTTTTTAGGCTACTTTATGTACTTTATGGCATGCTCATAAGGAAAGAAATAAGGGCTAGTAAGAAGTATTCTTGAGGAGTCCTAGTAGACTGTTGCCTTTGTTCAACCTTTGTTCAACACTGCAATGCATGGGGAAGGAAACTTAAGTCCTGCAGCCAGGGCCCCTTGACGTGCTATGTCAAACTGATGTCTACATTATCATCAATGATTATATTAGCAATCAGAATTTACTGCCAATTGGCAGCCCAAAAAAACAGGCTGCTGGGTAATACTTACACTACCTTGAATTCCATGCCCAGTTAAAAAAAATTGTGCCCCAAACAAAATGCGCTCATTGAAAGAAGCCCAAGTGGATTTTCTGAAAGTGAAGCATTGGCATAGCAACTTCCCATAGATTCTGCTTGTTTTTCAAAGCTGGAAAAGGATTGCCTTCAACATATATTGATCTCAAGAAAAATGTTTTACAGTGGTTGAAGAAGACTATTTTTTATTCTTTATTTCATCTAACACAATATATCAAGGACCAAGAGGGAATGTCAGAACAGTCTTCTTTTAACATGCCATCTTTATTTCGATGAAATCTTTAAATGTGTTAGCACTTTTATCACTCATTCAGAAATATAGTTAATGCACACCACTGGCAATTTTAAATTGCTGAATACTCTAGAAATGCTAATGAGGTAAAACCAATTAATGCTGCAATTCTATATGCACTTCCTTGAGGATAAAACTGACTGCACTCAATGAGGTTTACTTCTGAATAGTCATTTACAGAACTGTGGTTTGAATATCTATAATGAATTTTTACGTTTCTTGATTTTTGTGATGGAGAAGCAGATCTGTTATTAACTCTCCAGTCTTAGTAATCAAAGTTCAGGGATAGAATTAATACGGGAAACCATCTGAAATCCATTGTTGGCTGTTAATCTGTCTTTGGACAAAATAAACACGGCAAAGTCCTGTTAAGGAAAACACAATTGAGATATATGTTAGCACACGGTGAGGAGTGCTGTCTTGGACACCTTTAAAGGCAGATTAGATAAATTCATAGAGCAAAGAATTATCTTCGTTCAGAGCCAATATTTTGCAAGACTCTGCTGCGGACAAATGATATGGGGAATTCTGTCATAATCATTATCTGCTTGTGAGCTTCGACAGACATTTGGCTGGCCACTGTTAGAAACAGGATGCTAGATGAGATGAAGTGTGCTAGGTCCAGCAAGGCATGTGATGGCAAGACGTCTGACCCTCCAGATGTTGTTCCACTATTGTATGGTTCCCACCAACCAATCAGCTAACCTGGCTGCAGTTGATGGGGATTCACCAACATATGTAGGATTCACCAACGTTCTTGTTCCACCAAGTTCGCTTGATGGCAATTTTCATTGTGATGTCGAATCCTTTTCCTGTGAATGTTGCACTGTTTTGATGATGCAAATTTCCTTCAAGTTATTCAATGTGTCCTCTTGAGACTGTTATGTGTTGGTTGATAATGCTTTCTTGGTTCATCCAAATGCTACTACTGATAAGGGGAACATTTTTTGAATTGATCAAGTTGTGGAAGATGTCCCCCACCTTTGAGATTTCTAAGTGTCACATTTCAGCTGCTATAATTTCCAGCCAGCATGGTCATTGGCCAGCCTGTCTGGGTCTTACAGGAGATGAAGTTTAATCCATCTGGACAGCACAGGAAAGGGAGAAGCCACAATATACAGTAGTAATTGGCTGTTGAACTGCCAGTTACAGGCACTATTATACTTCCTTTATTAACAATACCTTAAATGGGATATCCCAATTTTGGGCATAATACTATTGGTCTGTGTTGTTGTAATATGTAAACATGTCCAAACAAGAGCTGAGTCCCATCAGACTGGGAGGAAAAAAAGTATTCAATGCACTAATGAAAGACTTGGGAAGTGAACACCATTATCTTTCACCTATGGCTTTTGCTATGAACTTCAGCAGTAGCTGATTGTCTTTTGGTGTATATTCTATCAGTTGTTCGGTTATAATGGGAGACTTCTATATACTGGGAAGGGGGGGGGAGAGAACTGTGTTATTGTTCATGGAGAACAAAGATCATAATCATAAGTAGGAATTATGAAATGAAATGTGGCCTTGGGTCCAAAAGTCCTAGGATCAGTACCCATACCCGGTCCATGAAACTACCACAAAGATGTAGCCCTAGGAAGTCCACTTAATATAAGTCCATTCTTAGGACTGTGTGCTTGTGGTAGTTTCACATAAGAAACCACACGTAGATATGGATTCATGCTGCGATCTCTGCTGGTCTGCAAATCCTGAAACCTTGTAAAGTGTCACATGGAAGTCCTATCTACCAACATACTTAACTGGATCAATGATGGGGTAAGCATGTTATATGAACACCACAAGCCAGTCTGAAGGTGGGCAGGAGAAGAGTGATTTTAACCCAAAGCAGCAATGAAGAGGGAGCTGAGGAGGTTATAAAGTCTAGGCAACATTATCTTGGTGAAAAGGCTTTGGGAATATCAGCTCCTTCCTGGAAAAAAGTAGGTGTGGACTCTGCATTCCCAAAGTGTCTATTTTTAACAGGTCTGCAGCTTGCTGGAATTATGAGTAATCCCATGCCATTCTCTGAAATGCTACCATGATTAAGATATTCCAGAAAGTTGCAAACCAGGCAAATAAATGAACTGGTAAATTTTAATTGTTTGATGTCATGAAGAAACTTCCCTATCCAGATCGCTTTGCTTTATATGATGGACATGTGTTTTAAATCATGCTGATCACAAAAATAATCTCTGCCCTTACCGTGAAGGCAGAGGCAATTTTGCATCATGATTCCCTTGTATCTGCTTGTTTCACAAATAAGTGTCCTGTTTCGATAGATAAGCATAAATTGTGGATCTGAGGCTAAACTGCAGGAAGGATCTTGGGGAAGGGGCGGGGAGCAGAATCCCATTAGCCATTTTACAGTGCACCTCTTTCTGCATTGCAGTAGTCTTCCTGTAAAAGATCCTCATATAGACAGTGCCTCTCCAGTGTATCAGGCTGTACTTAAAACTCAAAGCAAGTCTGACGATGAGCTTGATGATTGGAGCCGCCGATCTTCCAACTTGCAGTCGAAGTCCTTCCGCATCCTTGCTCAGATGACGGGAACTGAGTACAGTAAGTCAGACTGGGATCCCCAGTTCACATCTTTGATGGAATCCTTCCTTTCTCCTCGCTCTGTTGGGTATCAATTGCTGATGCTTGCTTATACACAGAGAGAGAGAGAGAGAGAGAGAGAGAGAGAGAGAGAATATTCTCTGGTTTAAAATCCGGGTCTCCATTATGGAGAGAGAGAGAGAGAGAGAGAGAATATTCTCTGGTTTAAAATCCGGGTCTCCATTATGGAGAGAGAGAGAGAGAGAGAGAGAATATTCTCTGGTTTAAAATCCGGGTCTCCATTATGAAATACAAATCCTTTGATCGAATCCTTAACTCTAAGGGGCAATAATCTTAGGAGAGTCTTTTCCCTCCCTCCAATCTGTTATGGTTTTTCAGGCTGCATTCGGTAATATTTACGTCTTGTCCCACAACCAGGTATTTATTTAGTTATTCAGAACTGCTTTATAACAGCATGTGAAGAAATAGAACCCTATCACAGAATATGAAGAAGAATGAACATTTCATTCCAAGAAGTCACTGAAGTGCTATTGTAACATTTTGCTGCATCACCCCAGTGGAAAAAAGGAAGGGTTTATTATCCATAAAGAAAGGGAGGAAGAAGACAAATCCTCAGTTTCAAAGAAAAGTTGAACTACAGCTTTTAGGGAATGGCCACATTTGTCTGTAGTTCACTGAGATCCACTACCAGATTTGAAAGGGCGTGGTTGAGGTTCCCTTTCACTGACACCATCAACCACTTTCTTTGTCCTCCCACAGAAGGCAAATGCCGGCATCAAGTAGGGAAGCAAAGGCAGGCAGAAGTCCGTGCAAGGAGGAGGAGGAGAAGCAGTGGTGCCAGGTTGGGTGGGGGGCAGGAAGTGATGGATTACCACCATCTTATTTCCTCTGTAATACTTCTCAGTCCTGGTGAAAGATTGCAGATTTTAGTCCTGTTCACACAATACACTTAACTGGGTCAATGGAAGGTTAATATATTATGAAACATCAAAAGAAGCATTGATCTAATCACTTAACCCCCATGGGGTTAGAATTAGCTCACAACAGTCCCAGTTTTGCCCAAACTGCAACTGACTTCACATCATAAACTGTTGTGGAAATACCAAAATCCATCTTGCCTATTTATTCCTCCAAGAAAACAGCTGGAAAGAAACCAGGATCCTCTGTTAGAGAATGAACAGCTGGAGCACAGAACACACCTTCAGACACTAGGTGATGGCAGGGGCCAAGTCACACCTGCTGAGGAGACAGCATTCCCCAGGCACAGGAGGACATGAGATAGT